AGAGATAAATTTTATTTTGTCATTGTGAGCATTTATGGAGAGTGCACTCCCTTTGAAGCTGGATATTGAAGATTACTAAGAGAATAGAAAGAAAGTTAAATATGGTACCAATCCTCCTTTAAAAAGAAAAAAAAAAAAAAAAAATTGGCTCCACCCTTTTATGTTGAAAGATACATCAATCTGGATTAGAATGTAATCTGGCTTAAGACTTAAAAGGATGATGTGTAATATATTACTCTTTTAACATACATTTCTATGCGCATAAACCCACATATTAAATTGTGCCATCAATCATATAATACTATATACCAATTTGAACGTTTTACCATAATTTCTTTTTTTTTTTTTTTTTGGAAACAGGATGTCTAATCAGCTTGCGTGCACCTTATATTACCGTACTTCTTATATATAGGAAGATGATATAAGGAATTCAAAAATTTTAAACAACACTTGAGGTGGAAATTAAAATGTTTTAAATATATGTCATGTCCCAAATCGACAACAAATAAGAGTCTATGTTAATTTAGAAAACTTGGATCTCTCTAATTAAGTAGGCATGCTTTGGACAAATGGGAGTTTATGCTAATTCAATATCTACTTAATTAGATTTGAATTACTACAATTGGTGATCTTAAAAGAAACAATATTTACTCTTTTTAAACAAACAATTGGAAGGTGGCTGGAATTTAGAATAATGGTGCAATAGCGGTTGGATCTGACTGGTAGTGCACCGATATAACATTTTTCGGTTAGATCCATGGTTGCTCTAGCCGTAGCTAGTCGTCAACGACAACCATATTTTTGGCCATTAACACGGTCAAATTTGGCCGTCAATGGCCTGATCTAGCAGTAGATCTGACCTTTTTCGATCAGATCCACAGTGTATTTAGTTGAAAAATGTCATCTCAGCGCATGACTGGCCAAATCCAGCTGATCATATATTGATACGGCGACTCTGACCACCCTCCAGCGGTGGTGGCTTGCTATCGATATTTAATGGGTGGGTAGAGGTATTTTTGTGATTTTTAATGTTTTTATTACAAGGGTGTTTAATAAATTAACAAACCTAATAGGTGTTTTTGTTAATTTTCAAATCCTACCTCATTATTACCACCTAACTCTTACTTTTTCAAAAATATTATCCAAAATACTAAAACAAATACACCTTATCTTTTTTATGTCTAAATTATTATTATTGGTATTAGAATGCTAAATAGCTATCAATTACCTTATTATTAGGGCTATTGTTGGTGTAATGAATTAAATAAATTACAAGATGATGAAAACAAAAAAATTGAAATTATAATAATGTGATTTGAAGTTAAAGATGAGATGAGAAGGGAAGGGAAGTGATAATTGTGTTGGAAGTGAGTTCTGATAATTAAAAAAAAAAAAAAAATAGTAGTTGAGTTGGTGACAAAGGTGAGAGACGAAAGGTTGAAAAAGCATTAAATAGATTAGGTCATGCATTGAAGTATGAGCATCATATTTTGAAAAAAATCATGTTAGCATGTGGACCCCTTTTTCTCAGAGAGAAAGAGAATAATATTAGTTTCTGATGGGACTTATTGCTTTGTACTTCTTCTTCACTTTGTTTTTTTTAATTTTCTCTTCCATTTTAATGTGTACAAAGTTACATTCCAAGTAACAATACTTCCTTTTTACTTTCTTAATACAACATCCCACCTCTTCGTAATTTATGCTTATAATTGATGGTGATTACCACCTCCAAAATTTAATGTCTTCCTTTAATTCCCTTTCCCTTTTTTCCTAAACATATCAAACCTACCATTTTCAATTTTCAATTGGTCTTCCCAATTTCCGTGAAACACAAGTAAATAACCTCGCTAACTATATGCTTATTCCAACCCTGTATAGGTCTTGTCAACTCAATTAATTCATTTTGTTTGTTCAATTTCAATGTCAATCAAGATACATAGAGAGAGAGGCAATGTGAAATTTTCTACATTAAATAAAAGCTCGAATATATATAATTAATTTTAAAGTTTTTTTTTTCTTTTAACGATGGGAGTGTCCAACCAATTTATACATACCTCAACTAATCTTTTAGAACTTCAAATTATCGATCTGGTAAAAGTTTCAGTTGTTTAAAAGTGTTAAGTTGTCATCCTATTTAAAAACTTAAACGAGAAAAAAATACGTGAGGACTCAAAATTATATTAGTTCAATAAAAAGGCTTTAAACAAAGAAATTTATAAATTATTCCTCCATCTTTAAAACATAAACATAGAAAAAGTAGGTGAGAGTTCAATATTATATTAATCCAATAAAAAGGCTTTAAACAAAGAAAGTTATAAATTATTCCTCGATCTTAGTATGCAAAGATTTTATGCAGAAATGATATAAAAGCTTGAGATGTAATAGTATATTAAACCCAACTCCCAATCTTACTCAATAAGTTGTCCAATGCTAAGGCTTTTTTAACATTCTATACAATTTGACGTTGTTCTAATAGTCTTGAATGTGGTCCTCTTAGTTGATTTGAGGAGATTTTGTTGTTGTGAATCATAAAGAGATTTGACCTAAGAAAACAAAGATAATTACGTACCAAAGCTTTTTTCTATTTTGGAAATAAGAGCATTTAGACATGAAGCTATGAATAGAAGATGCAGTGAAGAGTTTTGAGAAAGTTGAAACGTGTAATCACAAACACAGAAAGAAAATACGAAACTCATTAATCCCATCTGTCCTCATCTCAATCACAACATCATTTAGATCGACATTTCCAGGAAGACAGATCATAAATGCTGTCATCATTGTATGCACGAACAAATTTGTTAATATTTGCATATGCCTGCGTCTCAACTATTTAATTTCAACTGCCAAATCAATATATCCGAATTTTTGCATATATATATATGCTCAGTACATTGTTGTTTTGGATATAACTTGAACATCATCATACTATTTGATCGATCCTATTGATCATCCATGCCCATCTATATATCCTTCTCTGAAAATTCGTCTTGAAACTGGAGTTCCACTTATTTACTAGACATCTAGAAATATGTTATATGGACAAAAACGTGGGCATGAGAGGTGTTGTTCCATGTCCATAGAGAGAATTTATAAATGGTATCGATTGATAAGAAAGGAGTTAAGAGTTATCACCGATCCAATATTTAACATGTAATGTCAAGACGGCAAAAGTGATGGAGGACCACGGATGAGTCATATATTAAATTGTATATTCAAATTAAGTAGAAGGAGAGCTGTGAAATGATATGTTTATATTTGTTAGTTGGCAAAGTCAGTAATTCTGAAAGGAGCAATAATGCAAAGTATAAAAAGATAGCAGAAGAAAAAGATGAAGGTCAGGAGACAAGTGAGGGATTGGCTTTTAGTCATAGTTTAAATACAACCATTCATAAACCATCCAAAAGCAATATAAGCTATCGGTTGTTCACATAATGAAAAATATGGAAACAAATGGATGGTCCGAATGCTTTTTCCACAAATGCTAAAAACGAGTTAAAAGTATGGAGATAAATGGGAAGATGTCACATGGAGTCGCCTTCACTTTTGTCATAATATTAGTCCTAGTAAAACAGTTATTCTTCTTTGAATAAGGTAAGAAGTACCTCCACAAAAATTTTTAAGATAAAAAAGATAGATGACCCCCATTCAATTGGTTGGTGGGGTCTAGTTCTGATCATAAAGGAGAAGATTTTATTTATTATATATCCGTATATATATAACATTTTTATATACACTCTGTAATAAGAAACTTTCATATAAAAATATATATATATATATCATAAAAACCTTTCAGTGGTTGAGCAGTTCGATAGGGATTCTTAGATGTATTGCTCAAGAAATTCTGAGTTAGAGTTTCTCCTTATTTGTTAATAAGAGTAGTTATTGGAGCTCTTATTAGGTCAATAATTCTAGAGTTCTGAAAGATTAGTTAAAGTACACGTAAGCTGGTCAAACACTCTTGGTTATTAAAAAAAATAAAAAAAAAAACTTTGTATGAGTTTAATTACTCCATATAAAGCACTCAAAAAACTCCAAAATAATTGTAATGAAAAATTGTAGGGTAGCTGATATAGTTGTTTCAATGGAGAATAAAGATGAGAGCAATTGGTCATCAAGTCATGATATAAGCCCATTAACGTCTCATTCATGAATCCATTAGCAATCGTTTTCACAAGTCCCTTTCTTTTATCTCTCTTTCCCTTTCTCTATCTCTCTCTTCTCTGATGCCCTCCATCATTCACATGAAGGGGAAAAAAAAAAAAAAAAAAATGAATGGTTTAATGGAGTCTAAATCTGATGAGTGATTCCCAACTTTAGCCTTCTCTTTTGCTTAATCTTCAACGCCTGCCACTTAAAAAAGACAATAAAGAAACAAACAAAAGTTAATAAAAGAAATAAAGAATTAATAAAATTACAGAAATTAATTAAATAAATTATTAAAAAAAAGATTACAAACTGAGACTGAAGATGAAGAGCAGAGTAGTTTAAGTATTTATAAAGGTAGTAATGGATGAAGGGTCGTTTTTTACTTTATAAATACCCACCTCATAGAACAACCTCGCTTCCATTTTCTGCATCTCTCCTATTCAGATTTGTTCAAAAGAAGAGAGAAACCCCAAAGGCAGAAACCTTTGTTCCTGTCCTTAATTATCATTCTTCAACCCTTTGTTTCCACACGAAGGTTAGTGAGAAAAACAAAACATAACCTAATCCATCTTTTTAATTGCTCCACCTCTTTTGTGTCAACAAAATCTCCTCTTTCACCTTCTTAAGATTAAACTTCTACTGTTTATTCTACTTGATCATCAACCCAGTTCACAAAATCTAATTAAAATATGGCTAAATCAACTGTTATACGTTTAAATGCAATCATTTCTCTTCCTACAGCTTTATAAATGATAAAAAAAAAAAACTAAAATGATGTTTCAATTTTGTTCACTTATCACTGTTTTTATTGATGGTTTTTGTGTTGTTTATGTATGAATTAAGTAGCTGAAGCGATGGCCTTTCCAAACGAATCAAGAGAAGATTCTCCCTGCAAAGAGAAAAGAACGGGTAGAGGAAAGATCGAGATCAAGCGGATCGAAAACACCACTAATCGCCAAGTCACTTTCTGCAAGAGGCGCAATGGGTTGCTCAAAAAAGCCTATGAATTATCTGTTCTATGTGATGCTGAGGTTGCTCTAATAGTCTTCTCCAGCCGTGGTCGCCTCTATGAATATTCTAACAACAGGTATATTTCCCTAGCTAGCTTGATCTTATTTTCTCAAGGCTCTTAGCTTATCATTTTGTTTTTTGCTTTCACTTTTTTTAAAAATTTTTTTTTTTTTTTTTTTTTTTTGACACGATGTGGTGTTTTTAAATAAATTTCTTGATGACCTTTATTACTTTCTCAAGTTCATAGCTTTTTCTATATCACAATGTGTACGTACATGGTTTTCTTCTTACAAATGAGATATTTTTCTTGGTTTTATTTTATCTTTCTTAAAAGGTTTTGGAATATTTTAGTTGAAAATATTGTTGGGTCAATTCATGATGGTCAAGATATTTGCTTCTGCGAATAGATCTTAGGGTGGATTTAAAGTAAAAGAACATAATCATGTGTTCTTAAGGAGTGCAGTTTAGATTGAGAAACTAAGATTCACTTGCCTTTCATTCTTCTGTTTTGTTTTTTTCCTTGGATGAGCTTTCTGTTTTTTTTCCTAATTTTTAAAATATTTTTTTCTTTTCTGTTTATGATCATATATTGAGTTCTTAGTTTGGTGGAAACATAGATCTGGTGTAATAGATAGAAATAGAAGCATTATGGTTACAGTAGTAGCCACAAGTATAGGTTTGGTAATTTATGCAGACATGTGAGATCACCTTGTTCTCTCCTCCATTGTTGTTAAGTTTCCTATTTCTTTTATCTTTTCTCTTCCTTTATTCCTCTCTTTGTGTTCGTTCTCTCTTTCTCTATCCCTCTGTGGAAGCTAAGAGAAGACCTACAACAAAAGCTGTCACTCTCTCATTAGCCCCAAACCCTCCAATCTCTTGACACTTCGTAATGGCACGTCTGTTATACACATTAAGAAACAAAAAGTACAGATCGCAAAAGCTAAACCAATGTCAAAACCAATTTTACAGTCAAAACCCACGTTAGGGTTCACAAATTCCAAATGGGTTTTCTGTTTAAAACATGTTTAAAATCAACTTTTTCAACCACTCACTGCCAAATTAGGTCACCACCAATCACAACCCAAGTTAGGGTTTTTCCCCAATCCACAAGAAATTTCCCCAAATTTTTAGTTGCCTTAAATTGAAAGAATGAAAAAGAAAAACCCTCTTATCACAGTCAAAACTTAAAACAAATCAATGGCAAAGGTTCTAGATTTCACCTCCAACCAATCACAACTCACCAAATTTTTTTACTTGGGTTTGGATCCTTTTTTACCCTAGTTAGGGCATTCAACACTGGACCAGACAAACATCAGGTTGGATCGTGGTTCGTCTTGGTTATAGAATCTTTGGTCACGTCACAAACGATTGTTCAGTTTCTTACATTTCTGACAAAAGGGTTTATGTCATGATTCGTAAAACAAGCTTCTCTTTTTTCTCATCATCTCAACCCTAAATCTCTTTTTTCATTTTCAATGATTCAAAAAATAAAAACACCCCATCTGCCCATTTCGTCTTCATATTTGATCTCTCTCAGTTAAATTGTTCTACAAACCTTCTGTGAAAGAGAAAGTCAAGGGCCAATGAGATGACTTTAACTGAGAAATCATTACCACCACCGTATGTCACTGTTGGTATTATACAGTGAGGTTTGCATTTGTCTTAGATCTTGCATAGATATATTTATGCAAGTTTGAGAGAGAGAAAATTTGAAACCCTCTTACGTATGGATAACAGCGATTCAATGAAACAAAGTCTGACCATTTTGGTTTCTTTCGTGCTATGAAAAAAATCTTTGGCTGCATAGTCGGACGGCTCTGACCCTCTCAGACCTTCAGTCTCAGACTGTTCTTTTTACATTACTTTATTTCAACTTCCAATAAAATATCATCAAACTTAAATATTTGAACCGGGTTTTGAAATGAACGAGGTGGATAATAATACAAGGGGTAGAGTTTTATCCATGGAGTAATAAGTAATTGAAACGTGGCAAATCTTTGACCGTAACTACCATCAAGCCAATCATATTGCTGGGTCTTATGCCAGCGTGGTAGAGACAACCGGTGACTGGCTCGACGAAATTAAGGTATCATTATCTGCACAGGGAGAAAAAAAGTATATATTTTTTAAAACATTAATACCAAATTAAATGTAATATTATTTCATATCATATCAACATTAAGACTCTGCATAAATGGTGACTCTGACTCGAAAAGAGACTGATATTTCATCATTCATTAAGGTTTCGTAATAGGTTCAGTTAACTCAAAGAGTTGGTTGATTTGACTGTTAATTTACAATCCCATTTTGGTGGTTAAACTTAAACACAGCTTAATCATCTACCTTTAGGGTTCATCATCATAACTAATAGATTTAATTATTATAGTTAAATTTCTGGATTTGCAGTACCCATTTTCTGCTCAAGTCTTTTCATGCTTCAAATTTTATGAGTTTTTCTTCATTTATGTTTTATTATAAACTGTAGTAATCTTAAGAAATAGTACTACTTTAATATGAAGTTCAATTTTCAGTGTCACTTTCTGTCTATTCAATCTGGAGGGTTTAATTAAAATAAGTATCTTAATTATCTCATGTGTTTATGTTGTATACTTATACCTTTTTTTTTTTCGTTTTTCTTTTTTCTTCAGTGAAGCGTAATGATAAATCTTTTTCTTAGATGAATACAACAAGATTAAGAATACTTTTTTCAACAAAGTTTTACGAGAAATCTTTTTCGTATACTGAAAGATAAACATGATGTGACATGAAGTTGTTCATCAATTTCTTTGTTTTTATTTCAATAAAAAATTATAGTTGTTTTCTCAATCAACTGATGGATATTGATTGACCAAGCTGGTTATGGGAAGTGTATTGAAATATTATTTCTCTTGTAATTAATATCTCACAAATATAATATATAGTTGTGTATCTTTCAAAATATATCATAGAAAACATCTTAAAGGTGCTGGTTTTCATTTATGATTTAGATTAAGGTAGAAATACCAATTTAGTTTGGTTCCTTTTATGCAAATAAGCTCATAAATGACATAAACCTCATCATCACAAGCCATATGCAAATAGTTTTTTTTTTTTTTTAATTTTTTTTTTTTTAATCCTGGGAGTAATATGGTGATACCTATTACATTTGTTCATATGATGCAAGTTTAAGTCATTGAGAATGGTAAAACTGTGTATTGTAGAAAAAGACCTAAGCTTTTCCAGAAATTTGTTAATAAGTGGACACACTTTGATCATTTGTGATATATTTGTTCATTTAGTTTTGATTCAAAATAAATAAATAAATTAGCCAAGATAATGGTTTCATTTTGATCTTTGCCTTACCCATCAATTATTTCTTAGTTCTACATATTAACACTTATACAAAAGAATGAGAATTTGACTGATATCTTACCTTAAGTTGTTAATTTATATATATGCTACCTATGCAAAATGATTTGTACAGAGTAAATTATCAATAGGCTGATAAGCATATAGGCCGCACCCCGAAATATCAATTTATTTGTTCTAATTATAAGCAAAACAAAGTTGATTTCCAGGAAAATAGTTGTTAATTATTTATAATAAAAGAAAAAAAATCTCTCATTTTGAACTTTTAACTGCCAATCCACCGAGAGTTGAGGTACTCTCACTAATAAAAGACATGGGGTGAATATTTTATGTGTTATTTAAGCAGAAGTTGGTACTGCATAAGAAAAAATATTAGAGTTGATAAAACCTAAACGAGATTAAGCAGAGCTAAAATAGCATAGTTAAAAGAGTTTAAGGACTGGTAGTTATGATTATATTTTTATTATAACTTGGGACAGATACACTTTGGAGCTTTAAAATTGAGATTTACTAATGAAGGGTCAATGATACTTCATTGATATCAGGTTACTGACTTCCATTGATGAGCTTGCAAGAAATTCTTTCATCAAACTTCCCTTGATCAAGCATCACTAACTTTGTGTGGCACATTAATTACTTTGATCATTAATCTTCATTTCTCTCTATTCATGGCTCATAGGCTGCTACTGGGACAATACAATAGTGAAAAGGAGAAGCAGCATTATGTGTTTGCTTATTCATATAACTGCATTCATCCTGAACAAACACCATTCTAGCTAGTTTAATTTTTCTCTAGTTGAAATGCAATTGAAGTTATTCTATCTATAGATAATTGCAAAAAGATTGTGGATGTAAATGCATTTTCTTAAATGCTATTTTGACTAAGATATCTCATGAAATCACTTTCTTACTAATAATTAGCACTATGATTGCAGTGTGAAAACAACAATTGAGAGGTATAAGAAGGCAAGTGCTGATTCCTCTAATGCTGGGTCAGTCTCTGAAGCTAATGCTCAGGTACTAATTTATTTAGTTTTATTGTCAGAAATAAGTTGATCTCTTGTAGTTTAGTAATATGTAACTATTAAAAACTAACAATAACTTCTTGTGATAGTCAGAATCTGGCAACACTGCCTTGTGTCAGTTGCCTCAAATGATTTTGATTTCAGGATATCAATGTTGTATACTTCTAAGTTTTCTTGTTCTAGCTTCATATTCATTGGTGGGATTTGATTACAATTATTAAACTAGCTACAAAGTTCTTCATCATCAAAAGCTTAATTAGAGTTAGAAGACTTCTTGAAGGCAATTAGAGAACAACTTAAATTGTTCAACTTTTACATTTTAAAGCTTTATAATTCACCCATTACTTATCTAAAAAATCAGGATTATCCAAATTTTCTTCATAATAATTTGGAAATACCTACTTACAGTTACCTCCCCCCTTGTGATCGGATGACAAGCTCTTTAACCATTGGAATTAGCTATACTTAGAGGTCTTTTGCTTGAGTCACAGGAAAATTGTATGAATAATTGTAGTAATCTATAGAACCATATGCCATTTGCTTAACTTCATTATATTGCACATAAATTTTTCTTTATTTTACGAACTTATGTCTTGTTCTTTGTTAGTTACAATAATGGATATGATTTGTTATGTCTTTTTAATTAATCGTTGATTTTTTAAATTTATAAATATTTTTGTATTTCAAATTTGCAATTTTTTTCTTCTAATTTTGATTAAGTTACATGAATTTAAATTTAAATTTCTTTTATGGACACTAGGAAACCAACTTCAGGTAACTCTTATTCAACTTCACTAAATCCTTCATAAAACACTCAATCAAAAACTCTGTTCCGAATCATAATTGAATTTTTAATGACTATTACTCTTCTGAGATTCTAACCTAGTTTGTGGAAAAAATCTCAGTTCTACCAGCAAGAAGCGAACAAACTGAGGCAGCAAATTGGGAATCTTCAGAACTCAAACAGGTATATATCATCAAATGGTCTTAATAAAAAAGTGTTGGATATATTGGTTGGAAGCCCCATTTTTTTTTTTTTTCCTTTTTTTTTCAAAACATTGTTTCATATAATTTACAGGCACATGATGGGTGAAGCACTAAGTAACTTAAATGTCAAGGACCTCAAAAACTTGGAGACTCGTTTGGAGAAAGGAATCAGCCGAATCCGATCCAAAAAGGTATATGTGTGTGTGTGTGTGTGTGCATATAATCACCACCATCATCAAATATTATTTATTTATTTTTTAGATAAAATTCGACAGAAGGAAGAAAATTTTATTAACAAAATGAAAATGACATCTAGATAGAGAGATCTGTAATTATGTTTCTCTGATCATTATATTGTAAGGACTTTAAGAAGTTGATATTGATTGCATATGTTGCTGCTTTCTCTGACCCTAAAAGGTGTTTCTTTGTTTTGTTTTTTGCTTTTTGGTGTACCAGAATGAACTGCTGTTTGCAGAAGTCGAATACATGCAGAAGAGGGTATGTACTTGTTAGCTCTGACACTCTTCAATTTCTGCTTTTCATGGTCAGATTACTCAAAATCTTTTTGAACCTGTTTTTTGTAGTTTATATATATATAAGTTTTTTCTATAATTAACATGTTCAATCAAATATGAAAAGTATAGGACTGCAATCTCACTGATTTCAATTAGTGAATAATGGGTGGTCCCTATACTATGATAAATATGTTAGAAAATTGTTTTTGAATATGCGACCCTTGCACTGGAATTTTTTTAATTTTGGTTAATAAATTAAGACATGTTTACAAGCACCGGAGATTAAGTTTCATTTTTCTAAGACTATTTTCTTATACATTCTAATCTTCAAGCTTTTTTTTCAGCGTCCAATGGTTTGAAATCATATAGGACAAGCTCACTACATCTCTTTATTAATGTGGTAAATTAGTTCAATAAAATATTGGCTTGTATTATTAGATTCTAAAATCATCAATCATGCTCTCTCGTTGTGGTCGGATGACAAGTCTTTTAATAATTGGAGTTAGTTATATTTAGGGATCTTATGTTTGAGTGCTCGGAGAGGTAATTACTAGGTTTATCCAAAAAAAATCATCAATCATGACGATGGTATTGATAAATTATAAAGAATTGTTTTTGATAAACTATACTAATAGTTTAAAGAAAGTAAAAAATTCGTGCATATCTAATAACACATGAAATCATATAATTAAATGAGGGCAACACGTCAATAAAATATTGTGGCAAAATTGTTTGATATAAATATTTCTCTATAAAATAGTTTTGTCATTGTTCCCATCAAAGTCAAGAAGATATGTGTCCACAATTACAGACAAACTGGAAACTGTGATTCTCATCATGTGACCCTTGTTGGATGGATAATTAATATCAATATCTTCACCAAGACTTGATTTTCTTTTATTTTCAATTACTTATCTTTATCCTTAGAATTTCTTCAAAGGAGTAGTTCTAACATCAGCTTCAACCATTGCTCTCTGTCTCACCACATTTCTATAGCGTCTGCATTTGGTATCTATGTTGATATTATTGCCTTCGTTACCTAAAAATCAGTAGCATCTTGGAAAATATATGAAAATCTGTAAGGACTACTTCTTATTCTTTTAAAAATGATTTCAGATAAGTGCTCCCCATTTTCTGTATCTAGTTGAAAATGCAAAAACACTTTTTGCAAATTACAGAATCCAATGGTTGAATTGGTAGATAATGTTACCAAATCCTAATCTTTGTTGCAATATTGCAATGTTTATGCTAACCAGAGTCCTAATTCTTAGGGTCCAGTGGGTCAGAAATGTAGTAAGAGCTAGCAATCTTATGTCAAATGATGTGAACTAAATTCATCCTATCATCCTATTTTTGACCTTCATTATTACTGCCAGTTCATATTATTTTCACTTTAATACAAAATGCAAGATCAGTCCAACTTCTAAAGTAGTACTTGGCTTGAAATCATACATCAATTTGTCAATACTTACCATACAAATCATTCACCTAGTTTTTTTCAGCTGCATGCATTGTTTGCTTGAGGGTTTCTTGTGACAATAGAATTGTACATTGCAGGAAATTGACTTGCACAACAACAACCAGCTCCTTCGAGCAAAGGTCTCTTCCTTTCTTTTTCTCAATATGATTTGTTTAAGTGTACCACTTGGGTTTTTTAGGACCATCTGAAGTTTCTGTTTTTGTGTAGATTGCCGAAAATGAAAGAGGTCAGCAGAATATGAACTTGATGCCTGGAGGGAGCAGCTATGAGATTATACAATCTCAGCCATTTGACTCTCGTAACTTCTTCCAAGTGAATGCATTACAACCTACCAATCACTATGCACGCCAGGACCAGATGGCCCTTCAGTTAGTGTAAGAGTTTCACATTTCAAATCAACCATTACATGTATCATCATCATCCACCAAATAGATTAAAAAAAAAATAAAAAATAAAAAATTTCATCCTCAATTAATAATATATACACTTATAATGCTTTTACATGATATTTTTGTTCTTCAAATCTTCACTGATTTTCCCTATTGAAAAGGCTAGCATAATCATCTTTACAAACAACTTTGGAGAGGACTATGGATCATGATGATAAATGTTACTAAATGGTTGTGATTTTGCACTTGTTGGAAAGGTTGAATTTTTTCACATTGAACCAATTCAATTTTGCGGTTCTGCCTGCAGATTGGAGTCATTTCCTTCTCTAAATTTCTTTAATTTAGCAACTTCAATCTTTGTGATAGATTTATGTTGATTCTACTGTAACCTGAAAATGATTTTCTTATTTTCTATACTTTAAATTTTTTTTTTTATCAGTTTTTCTCTGAAGCATCTGCAGGACAATACTTGTCTAATAAGCTTTTCCTACCTTTTTTGCAGTTAATATGCGTGGTTGAAGAAAAACTATTTCATCCTAGGTGAAAGCTGAAGGTATGCTGAAGAATGCTGAGAAGTTTATTTATTAAGTGGGGACCTGAAGTAGTAGGTTTGTAGACTCTTATGTTAAGATTTATAACTATGTTATCAGATAATTAAGGACTTGGTTTCTGCATGCTTAAGGCAAACCCAAATTAAGTGTCCGTCACAGATTGATATACTACTAACTTATTACTCTGTGATACTCTCTTCCTGTATAATTGAATACTTAAAACTCAGTGCTATGCACACTTTGTTGATGTTGTGTTTCATTCACGAGTCCTTATATGTTTATTAAGCCAACAATTGCTGTGGTTAAATTTTGCTACAGGCTAGCTTCCTGGGGAAGGAATTATATTAGACCAGTAGTACCCGAATTGATTTTAGGCAAGAACTATAAAGATGACAGATTCGTTGAGTGCTTGCTTTTATAAATATAAATGTTTTGGCTGTTTTGAGAAATAATATTATAGCATAGGGTCTAGCAATTTGCTTTATTTAAAGATGTTTTTGCTATGTTTATAAGTCCTGTGTTTTCATGTGTTAAGAGTTACTGTTCTTTAAATAAATAAATAAATTTTCATATTAGTTACAAATTTGATAAAAGTTCCTAAACTGCTAGAGCTCTTGAATTACAAGCGAACCAGTCTTTGAATGTCCATAGGAAATGTCACATTTGTGTCCGAATTACTAAATGTAATCTCTGCTTGGTGCTTGTTTACAATCTCAGTAGGATGAAATGAATCCCAGAATATGACAGCATTTCTTTCCTTGCATGGAGTTGAAGAAGGCTTGCATAAACCATGGCTCCCCACTTCACAGCATTCCCCACTTGAATCAATATTTTTCATAGCTGAAATTTCCACACATATTAATTTCCCAAAACATATTCAATACTCAGAAAATAATCAATGAATTACGTTGTAGATGTGTATACCAGGGAAAAGTGCAGATACTGCTGCAATTTTTCTATTGTTGATGAAGATGAAGGTGGCATTTTTTAGTTGACTATTGAGTTTAAGGACAAGTAATTTTAGCTTTTCGTTGAAAAGACTTGCGGCTGAATTCATCTTCTCCACACATAACCCTTTTGTCTCATATAAAGATTTTGCATTTGGAGTACAGCCGATTAATCCCAGTCCAGCCACCGTTACTTTCCTAGCTCCATGCTTATACAAAGACTGAATAAAACATTTCAATATCAATAAAGATAGGTTGACAAACTATTCTCACTAACTTTTTTTAGCAAAAGCAATATAACAACTCGTAATTGGTACATGTGAGATCCATTATTAGGCATTGCAAACTGTCACATCGCGTTTATGAGAAAAAATTAATGAAAAATGTTTATTAATTTAGTGTTATCCTTTCAATATTGAGTTCTCAGACTGATAGAAATTAAGTAAAAAGAAATTAAACTGAAGCAGTTACTGACCGTGAGTTTTCTGGAAAATTGATCAGCAAGGACAGTGGCATATTGATCCGGGTTGTAGAGTTTACTTGTATTATAAAACTGGGGCAAGAAATAATTGTTGATGTAATCGTTACTGCCCATCTCAACAGAATATAAGCACTTCTGGAGGTGCTGATTAGCCGACTCATTGCTGCCTAGAATCCTAGCAATACGTGAGGCTGTGATTTTGTGATGTTTCAACTGCTTTTTTAAGTTGATGCGATCGCCCTGCAAACAAAAATCGAGTAATGTTGTGTATACAAAGTTAGAATAATAACATCAGGATATTGAATTAAAACACAAAATGTGAATCTGATGAATAATTACCTGTTGCTTTCCAGTTTCATCCCGGATTCCTGCTGAGCCGGATGCATAATTTACACCCCTCAGGATCTCTGATCCATTAGCAGTTGCAAAAGATGGAATGAAATGAGAGAAACCCAATTTTTCAGCTGCAATAAAAAATGCTCAAGATTATAGTTTATAATAATCAATAAATAGAATATCTGAAAGGAGTAAACTACTTTTTCCCACCCAAATAATAGCTTTTAAATATTTTTCCATCCAAAAACATTTAAAATATCATTTTATTATTCAAATTTATATTCCGTTTTCGATTTTGACATATCCCACACCACCATCATTCTCTTTCCTGATTATCACTTACCAAAACCCTTCAAACCTTACTCCTGTTGACCCCGTTAATCGTTAGCAATCAAGCAATTAGGGTTTGCACGGCTGTCCTTCCCAAATCAATTTTTAATTAATCCCAACCATCAAAATCCAACCTTCCACCACCAAAAGTCTCATTGGTTTCTCCTATTCAAAAGTCAAACTGTTTGGATTGAACTGTTCTATGTTTGTCATCAAAATATAAATTTGAATAATAAAGTGATATTTTAAAAGTTTGTGTGTAAAAAGTGTCATTAAATTGTTATTTGGGAAGGAAAAAGTCATTAACTGTTATAATAATCAATAAATAGAATATCTGAAAGAGGCAATATAAATTTTATTTAACAAACAGAAGAAGAGAAATGGAGGATTATTGGACCAATAAAATCGACGGTGGTCCGACCATTGGTAAATCTTCCAGTTGGTCCGTGGGGAAAATCAATTCCAAAAGGGGTGTAATTGGCTTTAGCATGTGTTGCAAGGTTATTATTATTGCCACTATCAACCAATGAATCTCCGAAGATGAAATAACAAGGCACCAGTGGTTCTCCACCACCACCACCAACACCAAATATGTTCATATTTGAAGCCACGACCACCACCACCAAAACAAAAACCACCCAGTATAGTTTCAACATCGATCTCTCACACCCCATTGTTTAAGTTAACTGGAAAGATCGAATGAATAAAGAAGGTGACATAAAAGATGTTGAAACAAGAAGAGATAAAATGGAACGTCAAGCTACTCAACGCAAATGGAGAGTCAAAATAAAACAATTCATTTGTGTGGTTAAGCAAAATCGTTCCGAATTTATAGACCCTAAATACGAAAAGAGGTCAATAAGTGATCTCTAACCGAGTCCAAAATTAAGTAAATTTGGTGTGTATTTAAGAGATTCAAGCTCAAATATCGGAGAGGGTCAAGGCTGTACTTCTCTCTTTGTTTTGGCTGAACGATATATTTCCACCCGAAGTTTGTTCTGACATAATTTATTACCCAAAAAGTTTCAAAAATACAATTACTTACTTTTCGTTAATATTTGTCCGTTAAATTTAACTGAATGAGGATAAAATGATAAATTATGTTATTTTTTATTAATTCTTTACTTGTTAAATGTGTTTTAAAATAATTAATTAACATTATTATAGTATATGCTTGTTTGTAATAATTAATGCTATAAACTATGTATTAATTGTAAACTAAATAGAATATAATATCGTGTTCCTTTTAATTCAATAATTTTCAAGTGTTAACCGCCAATGTAGAAATTAAAAAAACAAATAAAGAGACTTCGTGCTTCCACAAAAGAGGGGCTCATTTGGGCGGAAGAGTTTGGGCCGGTGAAAGAGTTTTGAGGCTCTATGTTTAAGGTTACTGGGCTTATGTGTGTTACTGAAAGTCTAAATACACGACCTCTACTGTAACTGTAAGTCATCCATTTACATTTACTATAAAATGCTAATACTCTAGTAATGTCATCTTATATTATTGATATTATTATTTTTTATTATCAAGTAATAAAATATTTTGATAATTTTTCAATACTAATAATAATTACTATAATCTGAATACCACCATTTATTTATGTATTTTAAGATTATTTGGTAATCTTAATTTTGTCATAATTTTATTCTTAACTAATAAAAATTTTAGACAATAATCAGTAGCGAATCCAAAAATCTCTGTTAGGGTGAGTCAAAATAAAAACTAATGGTACATTAATATTTTTATCCATTAATGTTTTTGTTAGAGTGGGCTAAAATCTAGAAATAGTACATACTAGTATTTTTAAAAAAAATTTGAGGATGGACCATGGCTCACCCAAAACTAGGTTGGATCCACCTCTAACAGTAATGCCTTTGTTCTGAAAATAATTTCCAAAAATATTCATGAACTATTTTATCCTTATATCCAAGATTTTTAAGACATTATTACCCTTGTACTTCAATCAAATTATCAAAGACCATAGTCGAATCTAGCCACCACCGTCGATTATGATAGGATACATCTATTATTAATATAAACATATTAGAGAAAAACTTGACTGTATTCTTGAAAATATATATCAAACATATTTATTACTACTTATTTTCATATAGGACATTACATTGAGGCAAAAAAATAAGTTTAACACAAGTTTGATCATAGGATATACTCATTTGGCTTATATTCATCATAACTTAACCAAATGACTTATATCAAAAGGATGAGCATTAGATGGGGGAAGGGCTTTCTAAGATCGTTGTGCAATGATTTGATTCATTGCTTTGGAAAGGATAGAATATGTCCCAGTACACGTACTCGTAATAACGGATTCAAAAATTTCTGTTAGAATAGACTAAAATAAAAACTAATTATACATTAATATTTTTGTTAAAATGAGTTAAAATCTAGAAATTACACATATTAGTATTTAACAAAAAAAAAAAAAAAAAAATGAGAGTGGGCCATGACCCACCCAAAACTAGCTGGATCCCCCCTGCGTACTCGTTCCTCTTTTGGCATGGAGTGCCGATGGGAAAACATGTAACAGTTGCATTTAACACTGGGCAGCAGCTTCCATTTAACACTTAAAAACCTGTACATAATGCATTTTGTTAACATAAATGAATTTTGCATCACTTAAATTAGTATTGAGTTGATCAACAAGTGACTTCGGCTTTTTGTTGAAGAGTTTGGCCGCATGGTTCGAATTCTCTACACATCCAGTGATGTTTACTGGAAACACATTGATTGTATACGGGGTGCAACCTAAGCGTCCCAGTCCAAACACGACAATCTTCCTCGCTCCAAGATCGTGCAAAGTCTAATTCATTACAGCAAAGCCAGAGAAATAGACATAATGAATTACAGAATTGAGAGAAATTAAGAAACCTTGTGTTACGTATTAATTACAGGTAATTGCTTAGAATACTGACGAATAAGAATTTGTGTGTTTCTCCAGGTCATACAGGAGGCTTTTCAAGGAAAACAGGGTGGAGAAATAGTTGTTGGCGTAATCGTTAGTGCCCATTCCAACATTATAAAGGCACTGATTTAGATATTGAGTAGCCGAATCTGTAGTTCCTAGTTTTGCAACGACACTTTTGATTGTTACTTTGCGATTTTGAAGCTGTTGATTTAAACTGATATGCTCACCCTACAAAAAAGATTAAAATAATAAGAGAATACCCGATTGTAATAATCAAACAAAAAACAGTTAAAGGATATCTCAATTTAAAATACCAGGTTTCCACCAGTATCATCGAGAATTCCTGATCCACTAGATGCATAATTCAAACCTGTAAGTATGTAGGAGGTAGCCTTGCAAATGGTGGAATATAACTAACAAAGCCAAGCATAGCAATGACCAACAGTTCCTTCTCTAATTCTTTAATTAGCAACTTCAATCTTTGTGATAGATTTATGTTGATTCTACTGTACCTGAAAATGATTTTCTTATTTTCTATACTCTAAATTTTTTTTATCAGTTTTTCTCTGAAGCATCTGCAGGACAATACTGTCTAATAAGCTTTTCCTACCTTTTTTGCAGTTAATATGCGTGGTTGAAGAAAACTATTTCATCCTAGGTGAAAGCTGAAGGTATGCTGAAGAATGCTGAGAAGTTTATTTATTAAGTGGGGCCCTGAAGTAGTAGGTTGTAGACTCTTATGTTAAGATTAAAACTATGTTATCAATAATAAGTTGGTTTCTGCATGCTTAGGCAAACCCATTAAGTGTCCGTCCACAGATTGATATACTACACTTATTACTCTGTGATACTCCTTCCTGTATAATTGAATACTTAAAACTCAGTGCTATGCACACTTTGTTTTGTTGTGTTTCATTCACGAGTCCTATATGTTTTTAAGCCAACAATTGCTGTGGTTAATTTTGCTACAGGCTAGCTTCCTGGGGAAGAATTTATTAGCCCAGTATACCGAATTGTTTTAGCAAGAACATAAAGATGACAGATTCGTTGGTGATGCTTGCTTTTAAAAATATAATGTTTTGGCTGTTTTAGAAATAATATTATGCATAGGGTCTAGCAATTTGCTTTATTTAAAGATGTTTTTGCTATGTTTATGTCCTGTGTTTTCATGTGTTAAGAGTATGTTCTTTAAATAAAAAATAATTTTCTATTAGTTACAAATTGATAAAAGTTCCTAAACTGCTAGAGCTCTTGAATTACAAGCGAACCATCTTTGAATGTCCATAGGAAATGTCACATTTGTGTCCGAATTACTAAATTTAATCTCTGCTTGGTGCTTGTTTACAATCTCAGTGGATGAAATGAATCCCAGAATATGACAGCATTTCTTTCCTTGCATGGAGTTGAAGAAGGCTTGCATAAACCATCTCCCCACTTCACAGCATTCCCCACTTGAATCAATATTTTTCATAGCTAAATTTCCACACTATTAATTTCCCAAACATATTCAATACTCAGAAAATAACAATGATTACGTTGTAGATGTGTATACCAGGGAAAAGTGCAGATACTGCTGCAATTTTTCTATTGTTGATGAAATGAAGGTGGCATTTTTTAGTTGACTATTGAGTTTAAGGACAAGTAATTTTAGCTTTTCGTTGAAAAGACTTTCGGCTGAATTCATCTTCTCCACACATAACCCTTTTGTCTCATATAAAGATTTTGCATTTGGAGTACAGCCGATTAATCCCAGTCCAGCCACCGTCACTTTCCTTGCTCCACGCTTATACAAAGACTGAATAAAACATTTCAATATCAATAAAGATAGTTAAAAACTATTCTCACTAACTTTTTTAGCAAAAGCAATAACAACTCGTAATTGGTACATTGAGATCCATTATTAGGATTGCAAAACTGTCACATCGCGTTTATGAGAAAAATTAATGAAAAATTTTTATTAATTTAGTGTTTCCTTTCAATATGAGTTCTCAACTGATGAAATTAAGTAAAAGAAATTAACTGAAGCAGTTACTACCGTGAGTTTTCTGGAAAATTGATCAAGGACAGTGGATGATCCGGGTTGTAGAGTTTACTTGTTTATAACTGGGCCAGAATAATTGTTGATGTAATCGTTACTGCCCATCTCAACAGAATATAAGCACTCTGGAGGTGCTGATTAGCCGACTTATTGCTGCCTAGATACCTAGCAATACGTGAGACTGTGATTTTGTGATGTTTAAACTGCTTTTTTAAGTTGATGCGATCGCCCTGCAAACGAAATTGAGTAATGTTGTGTATACACTTAGAATAATAACATCGATATTGAATTAAACACAAAATGGAATCTGATGAATAATTTCCTTTGCTTTCCAGTTTCATCCCGTTCCTGCTGAGCCGGATGCATAATTTACACCCCTCGGATCTCTGATCCATTAGCAGTTGCAAAGTGGATGAAGAAGAGGACCCAATTTTTCAGCTGCAATAAAAAATGCTCAAGATTATAGTTTATAATAATCAATAAATAAATACTGAAAGGAGTAAACACTTTTTCCCCCCAATAGCTTTTGTTTAAAATATTTTTCCATCCAAAAACTATTAAAATATCATTTTATTATCAAATTTATATTCCGTTTTCGATTTTGACATATCCCACACCACCATCATTCTCTTTCCTGATATCACTTACCAAAACCCTTCAAACCTACTCCTGTTGACCCCGTTAATCGTAGCAATCAAGCAATTGGGTTTGCACGGCTGTCCTTCCCATACAATCATTTTTAATTAATCCCAACCATCAAAATCCACCTTCCACCACCAAAAGTCTCATTGGTTCTCCTATTCAAAGTCAACTGTTTGGATTGAACTGTTCTATGTTTGTCACAAAATATAATTTGAATAATAAAGTGATATTTTAAAAGTTTGTGTGTAAAAGTGTCATTAATTGTTATTTGGGAAGGAAAAAGTCATTAACTGTTATAATAATCAATATAGAATATCTGAAAGAGGCAAATAAATTTTATTTAACAACAGAAGAAGAGAAATGGAGGATTATTGGACCAATAAAATCGACGGTGGTCCGACCATTGGTAAATCTTCCAGTTGGTCCGTGGGGAAATCAATTCCAAAAGGGGTGTAATGTGCTTTAGCATGTTTGCAAGGTATTATTATTGCCACATCAACCAATGAATCTCCGAGATGAAATACAAGGCACCATGGTTCTCCACCACCACCACACAACACATATGTTCATATTTGAAGCCACGACCACCACCCACCAAAACAAAACCACCCGTATAGTTTCAACATCGATCTCTCACACCCCATTGTTTAAGTTAACTGAAAGATCGAATGAATAAAGAAGGTGACATAAAAGATGTTGAAACAAGAAGAGATAAATGGACGTCAATGCAACTCAACGCAAATGAGAGTCAAATAAAAACAATTCATTTGTTGGTTAAGCAAAATCGTTCCGAATTTATAGACCCTAAATACGAAAGAGTCATAAGTGATCTCTACCGAGTTTAGAATTTCTTCAAAGGAGTAGTTCTAACATCAGCTTCAACTATTGGTCTCAGTCTCACCACATTTCTATAGCATCTGCATTTGGTATCTAAGTTGATATTATTGCCTTTGTTACCTAAAAATCAGTAGCATCTTGGAAAATATAAGAAAATCTGTAAGGACTACTTCTTATTCTTTTAAAAATGATTTCAGATAAGTGCTCCCCATTTTCTGTATCTAGTTGAAAATGCAAAAACACTTTTTACAAATTACAGAATCCAATGGTTGAATTGGTAGATAATGTTACCAAATCTTAATCTTTGTTGCAATATTGCAATGTTTATGCTAACCAGAATCCTAATTCTTAGGGTCCAGTGGGTCAGAAATGTAGTAAGAGCTAGCAATCTTATGTCAAATGATGTGAACTAAATTCATCCTATCATCCCATTTTTGACCTTCATTATTACTGCCAGTTCATATTATTTTCACTTTAATACAAAATGCAATATCAGTCCAACTTCTAAAGTAGTACTTGGCTTGAAATCCTGCATCAATTTGTCAATACTTACCATACAAATCATTCACCTAGTTTTTTTCAGCTGCATGCATTGTTTGCTTGAGGGTTTCTTGTGACAATAGAATTGTACATTGCAGGAAATTGACTTGCACAACAACAACCAGCTCCTTCGAGCAAAGGTCTCTTCCTTTCTTTTTCTCAATATGATTTGTTTAAGTGTACCACTTGGGTTTTTTAGGACCATCTGAAGTTTCTGTTTTTGTGTAGATTGCCGAAAATGAAAGAGGTCAGCAGAATATGAACTTGATGCCTGGAGGGAGCAGCTATGAGATTATACAATCTCAGCCATTTGACTCTCGTAACTTCTTCCAAGTGAATGCATTACAACCTACCAATCACTATGCACGCCAGGACCAGATGGCCCTTCAGTTAGTGTAAGAGTTTCACATTTCAAATCAACCATTACATGTATCATCATCATCCACCAAATAGATTAAAAAAAAAATAAAAAATAAAAAATTTCATCCTCAATTAATAATATATACACTTATAATGCTTTTACATGATATTTTTGTTCTTCAAATCTTCACTGATTTTCCCTATTGAAAAGGCTTGCATAATCATCTTTACATACAACTTTGGAGAGGACTATGGATCATGATAATATATGTTACTAAATGGTTGTGATTTTGCACTTGTTGGAAAGGTTGAATTTTTTCACATTGAACCAATTCAATTTTGCGGTTCTGCCTACAGATTGGAGTCATTTATCTTGCCAGCAACCCCCACTATTATCCAAGCACTCATTTGTCTCTACAGCTGCCATAGAAAAATATTCACTCATGAACTTATGTTCAAAACAAACACATCTCCAAAGAGTTCCACCATACTCAGTGAAGGTTCCAACTCCCACCAAAGGGTCCTGAATATGTTCTAACCACTCCAATTTCAAGATTCAATTAGCGCACTTAAGAATTGAAACTTTGAGACTTCAATTGTTGCTCCAGAAAAACTATGTATGACCCAACAAGTGTAACACATTTTCCCTAATTAGTATCAGACTAAAATTAAAACTTACCACCACTCAAACAAGCAGCTGGCTCAGTTGCTTCCTCAAAACCAGCACAAATGGCCCTCAAGACAGCACCTTTCTCCAACTTTCCTGCAAGAAGCAGCACATACTTCAGTAAAGGGGAAAACTTCACATTTTTATCTACAAAACATAACATCACATACAGACATCGATATTGTGATGGTTACATCACCCCTTGATCCTTTTACCAACCTACAGAAAGTGTTCTTATCAACGTGGCTATGTATAACTGAGCTAAGAACACCAATTTTGAAACAGAAAGGGAAAAGAAAAGCATTGCATAATGTAACTTTATGTGCCTAAACATACGGAAACATATCAAGATGTACTAAAATTTAATAACAGTACAAAGTATTACCTGGGCATCTGCTCTTCTTTCAGAATAGAATTGTCAGCGCTTGCCTTTGAGTCTCCCATGCACTTTTCAATCTGAAAAAAATAAAATGATTTACCACTAGCTAGGTCACAGATTCTCCTCCCTTTCTTGGTTCCGTTGTGGACTCCAGCGAGTCGTACTGGAAGAGGGTACACGCCACAACCCGACCAACCAAAGTCGTAATTTTTCCGTTATGGACTACTGCGAGTGGTGGTGGAACACGATAGACGGCGGCGGTGGTGATAGAGGACAGACGGCGGTGGTGGTGGAACACGATAGACGGCGGCGGTGGTGATAGAGGACAGACGGCGGTGGTGGTAGAGGCTCAAAACGTGTGGGTCTTGTAAAGGATAGAGCATTGGTGGAAGAGGAAGACCAAATGACTACTGCAAGTGGTGGTGGAAGACGATAGCCCGTGGTGGTGGAAGAGGATAGATCGGTGGGAGAGCAATATCAATTTTAGGGTTTCAATTTTGGAAGAGAGATTTGATTTAGGGGAATGAATGAAATTTGATTTGGGGCAGGTGTGAAATTTTCAGGAGAGATTTTTTATTTAGGGGAAGGAGGGAATTTAAATTTTTGTTTTTAAAAGTTTTTGGGGGATTGACGTGGCGTTAATCTGACGTGGCAGAAGAGGTGGCATATGCCACATCGAACTGCCATGTCAGTCGAGATGTGTCAGTGGTATTTCAATCGAAAAGTGTAGTCTTATTGAAGAAAAAAAAAGCAATAGCCACAAGTTGACTATTTTAGAATGAGTAATGTTATTTATACAAACTCTCGTATAAATTAATGTGACACGACATATGACATATCATATGGTATTGAGAACCATATAACTTGATGTCACATTAATGTTATGTGATCCTTATGTCACGTGACACTTACTTGGTGTGTTACATCAGTTTGTACAATGAGAGTTTGTACAAATAGTTTTATCTCGTATAAATTAATGTGACACGTCATATGACATGTCATATGGTATTAAGAACCATATAACTTGATGTCACATTAATGTTATGTGATCCTTATGTCACGTGACACTTACTTGGTGTGTTACATCAGTTTGTACAAATAGTTTTATCATATATATATATATATATATATATATATGGGTAATTNGGAGAGTCAAAATAAAACAATTCATTTGTGTGGTTAAGCAAAATCGTTCCGAATTTATAGACCCTAAATATGAAAAGAGGTCAACAAGTGATCTCTAACCGAGTCCAAAATTAAGTAAATTTGGTGTGTATTTAAGAGATTCAAGCTCAAATATCGGAGAGGGTCAAGGCTGTACTTCTCTCTTTGTTTTGGCTGAACGATATATTTCCACCCGAAGTTTGTTCTAACATAATTTATTACCCAAAAAGTTTCAAAAATACAATTACTTACTTTTCGTTAATATTTGTCTGTTAAGTTTAATTGAATAAGAATAAAATGATAAATTATGTTCTTTTTCATTAATTCTTTACTTGTTAAATGTGTTTTAGAATAATTAATTAACATTATTATAGTATATGCTTGTTTGTAATAATTAATGCTATAAACTATGTATTAATTGTAAACTAAATAGAATATAATATCGTGTTCCTTTTAATTCAATGATTTTCAAGTGTTAACCGGCAATGTAGAAATTAAAAAAAAAAAAACAAATAAAGAGACTTCGTGCTGCCTCAAAAGAGGGGCTCATTTGGGCGGAAGAGTTTGGGCCTGGTGAAAGAGTTTTCAGGCTCTATGCTTAATGTTACTAGGCTTATGTGTGTAACTAGAAGATATCATCCAATACTAATAATAATTACTATAGTCTGAATACCACCGTTTATTTAAGTATTTTAAGATTATTTGGTAATTTTAATTTTGTCATAATTCTACCCTTAACTAATAAAATTTTTAGACAGTAATGCATTTGTTCTAAAAATAATTTATAAGAATATTCATGAATTATTTTATCCTTATACCTAAGATTTTTAAGATATTATTACTCTTGTACTTCAATCAAATTATCAAAGACCATAGTAGATCTGGCCACCACCGCCGATTATGATATGATGCATCTATTATTAATATAAACATATTAGAGAAAAACTTGACTGTATTCTTGAAAATATATATCAATCATATTTATTCCTACTTATTTTCATATAGGACATTACATTCAGGCAAAAAAATAAGTTTAACACAAGTTTGATCATATGATATACTCATTTGGCTTATATTCATCGTAACTTAACCAACTGACTTATATCAAAAGGATGAGCATCAGATGGGTGAAGGGCTTTATAAGATCGTTGTGCAATGATTTGATTCATTGCTTTGGAAAGGATGGAATGCGTCCTAGTACGCGTACTCATAATAGCAGATCCAGAAATTTATGTTAAAGTGAGCTAAAATAAAAACTAATTGTATATTAATATTTTTGTTAAAGTGAGCTAAAATCTAGAAATTATATATATTAGTATTTAATAATAAAAAATTGAGAGTAGGCTATGGTCCACCCAAAACTAGGTTGGATCCGCCCCTACGTACTCGTTCCTATTTTTGGCATGGAGTGCCGATGGGAAAACATGTAACAGTTGCATTTAACACTGGGCAGCAGCTTTCATTTAACACTGGGCAGCAGCTTTCATTAAACGAATTTTGCATCACTTAAATTAGTATTGAGTTGATCAACAAGTGACTTCAGCGTCTTGTTAAAGAGTTAGGCCTAGAGCTAGGCATTTGGGACCGGGCCCAAAAGCCCAGCTCGAAAACCCGGTCCTAAGACCGGTCCTCGAGAGGACTGGACCTAGGAGGCTTGGTCCCAAAACAGGACCAGGCCTAAGGAGGAGGGCCCGGGCCCTCCATTGAGCCCTCCTCCAAGGCTCGGGCCTGGGACCGGTCCCAGCCTGGGCCCAAAAAAATTTGTATTTTCTCAATATAGTCTCCTACCAAATTACATAAAACCCTCTGTTAATTTGAAAATAAATATAAATTAAGAGGTAATTGCTTAGAATACTGATGAATAAGAATTTGTGTGTTTCTCCAGGTCATACAGGAGGCTTTTCAAGGAAAACAGGGTGGATAAATAGTTGTTGGCGTAATCGTTAGTGCCCATTCCAACAGTGTAAAGGCACTGATTTAGACATTGAGTAGCTGAATCTATAGTTCCTAGTTTTGCAACAATACTTTTGATTGTTACTTTGTGATTTTGAAGCTGTTGATTTAAACTAATATGCTCACCCTACAAAAAAGATTAAAATAATAAGAGAATACCCGATTGTAATAATCAAACAAAAAACAGTTAAAAGGATATCTCAAATTAAATTACCAGGTTTCCACCAGTATGATCGAGAATTCCTGATCCACTAGATGCATAATTCAAACCTGTAAGTATGTAGGAGGTAGCCATTGCAAATGGTGGAATATAATTAACAAAACCCAAAAATTTGGCTGCATTGAGAAAACTTAACTTCCATTAACAGCCAAGCATAGCAATGACCAAATATTAAAAAAGAAAAAAAGAAGGGAAACAAAACTCATTAACTAAAAAATATATATACGATAAGTTTAAGTTGAGTTGAAAACAAGACCGATTACGTCGACTCGGGTTTCACCATTGCAAAACCTTCCTGTTGGTCCAATGGGAAAGTCAATCCCATAAGGAAGGTAATTGGCCTTTGTTAATGTTGCAAGAAGATTGTTATTGCCACTGTCACTCAACGAATCCCCGAAAATGAAAATGCAAGGTACTTGTGATAACCCTAGAACACATTGTTGCAAAGTTGAAATCAACAACAAAATATTAACGAATGCCCATCCTATTTTTATGTCACACGCCATTGGGAGAGAAGGAAGGAGCACAAAGTAGGTAACGAATTGAGACAAGAAAACTTAGTTGAAACTTGAAAGAAAGGGCTTATTGTCATCTGTACTGTGTGTGACCAACGGAAGTATAAATAGGCCTATAAATATTTACATGACTGATTTATGTTTGGCTTACCCGGTCAAGGTGCATTAATAGTTTAACGGCAAGAATGACAAGTTAATCACCATGGTCAGATAGTAAAATAGCAAAAAGAGTTTTATGGGCTCTTTAATTCGAGTTTTTCAAGTATTAATAGGAGTAGCTATTAGGGTTCTTACTCGGCTAGCTAATGGCGGATCTAGAAATTTCTGCTAAGGTGGGTCAAAGTGAAAATTAATTATACATTAATATTTTTGTCTATTAATATTTTTGTTAGGGTGGGCCAAAATATATAAATTATACATATTAATATTTAAAAAAAAAAAATTGAGGGTGGGCCAAAAAGTGGTTGGATCCACCCCTGCGGCTAGCAGTTCCAGAGTTCCGAAGGATTAGTTAAAGTGCTTACAAACTAGTCTGAACACTCCTGATGAAAAAAAACAATAAGACTAAACTTCCCGATTGAAATATACACTTATACTGCTTTTACATGATATTTTTGTTCTTCAAATCTTCACTGATTTTCCCTATTGAAAAGGCTTGCATAATCATCTTTACAAACAACTTTGGAGAGGACTGTGGATCATGAGTTGTGATTTTGCACTTGTTGGAAAGGTTGAATTTTTTCACATTGAACCAATTCAATTTTGCGATTCTGCCTACAGATTGGAGTCATTTATCTTGCCAGCAACCCCCACTATTATCCAAGCACTCATTTGTCTCTACATCTGCCATAGAAAAATATTCACTCATGAACTTATGTTCAAAACAAACACATCTCCAAAGAGTTCCACCATACTCAGTGAAGGTTCCAACTCCCACCAAAGGGTCCTGAATATGTTCTAACCTCTCCAATTTCAAGATTCAATTAGCGCACTTAAGAATTGAAACTTTGAGACTTCAATTGTTGCACCAGAAAAAATATATATGACCCAACAAGTGTAACACATTTTCCCTAATTAGTATCAGACTAAAATTAAAACTTACCACCACTCAAACAAGCAACTTGCTTCCTCAAAACCAGCACAAATGGCCCTCAAGACAGCACCTTTCTCCAACTTTCTTGCAAGAAGCAGCACATACTTCAGTAAAGGGAAAAACTTCACATTTTTATCTACAAAACATAACATCACATACAGACATCGATATTGTGATGGTTACATCACCCTTTGATCCTTTTACCAACCTCCAGAAAGTGCTCTTATCAATGTGGCTATGTATAACTAAGCTAAGAACACCAATTTTGAAACATAAAGGGAAAATAAAAGCATTGTATAATGTAACTTTATGTGCCTAAACATACAGAAACATATCAAGATGTACTAAAATTTAATAACAGTACAAAGTATCACCTGAGCATTTGCTCTTCTTTCAGAATAGAATTGTTAGTGTCTACCTTTGAGTCTCCCATGCAATTTTCAATCTGAAAAAAATAAAATGATTTACCACTAGCTAGGTCAGAGATTCTCCTCCCTTTCTTGGTTCCGTTGTGGACTCCAGCGTGAAAAGATTTTAGAGACAATAGTGAAACCACAACAATTGCTTATGGCATAGGATTCTTCATTATATAGAAAACTTTTACAAGTATTAAAAGCTAACAATAGCAGTACAAGCTATACAAGGAAAGATATCTACATATTCTATATTTACAACTAATCAACTCCTATATATTTGTACAACGTCTGTATTGTCGTGTATTGCTCCTTAATGCTTGGATTGATTTTCTGTTTGATTGTTGCCTTGATTGTCTCTAGAGAATAATGCTCTGTTATCGCCAACACCCCCCCTCAAGTCAAGCGTGGTTGGCAACGCACAAAGCTTGGATTGGAATAGCAGAAACATAGGTTTTGTTGGACCTTTGGTGAATATGTCTGCTATTTTGCAAGGTTGATGGAACATGTTTAATCTTCAATATACCACTGCAGACTAATTCCCTAACAAAGTGAATATCAATATCAATATGCCTGGACCTTTGTTGAGCTACTGGATTTCAAGTCATGAAAATGGCACTTGTGTTGTCACAAAGTAACGTTGGCGATTCTATTGGTTGAATTTTTAAATCATGAAGAATGTTTAACAACCATTTAACTTCAGCTACAGCGAGTGCCAATGCTCTATATTCAGATTCTGCCAAAGACCGAGATACTGTGGACTGCTTTTTGGAAGTCCATGAGATTAAATTGTCACCTAGAAAAATTGCATATCTTGATGTTGATCGACTTGTGTCTGGGCAACTAGCCCAATCGGCATCTGAAAAAGCTGAGATTTTGAGATTGCTTGATGGACTGATTGTGAGTCCAAAATGGAGGGTTCCTTTAACATATTAGAGAATTCTTTTTACGGGTTGAAAATGTTGCTCTCTTGGTGCATGCATGAATTGACTTACTGAATTTACTGCATGTGTAATATCTGGCCTGGTAATGGTGAGATATTGCAGTGCACCAATAAGGGATCGATAAGTTGTTGGTGAATGAAAGAGAGGACCATCAGTAGTCAAATGATTTGAGACAATCATTGGTGTTGCAATTGGCTTTGAATCATGGAGATCAGCTTGGATAAGGATATCTCTCACATACTTCACTTGACTGAGGAACATTCCCTTTTGAGAATGAGTAACTTCTAGGCCCAAAAAATAATTGAGATTGCCAAGATCCTTTATAGAAAACTCTTGCCGTAGCTTGTTAATGAAAGTGTCAAGGAGAGACACGTTGCTGCCTGTGATGATAATATCATCCACGTATAAGAGTAAATAAATGATGCCATTGTCCGATGAATGAACAAATAAACTAGAATCAGCTTTGCTACAATTGAAACCAATTTTGATTAAAAAATTGCTAAAGCGATGGAACCATGCTCTCGGTGCTTATTTCAAACCATAGATTGCCTTTTTGAGGCGACAAACATGGTTTGGATGAGAAGCATCAATATATCTCGGTGGTTGTTCCATATAAACCTCTTCTTGTAAGAGACCATGCAAGATGGTATTTTTAACGTCAAGTTGACGTATATTCTAGCCACGAGAGACTACAATAAAGAGTACAATGCGAACTATAGAGGCTCTAACAACTGGACTAAATGTGTCATTAAAATCAACTCCATAGAGTTGAGTATAGCCTTTGGCAACAAGGCGTGCTTTGAGCCTATCAATAGATCCATTCGAATGATATTTGATTTGAAAAACCCAGTTGGATCCAACCACATTAGTAGCAGGTGGTCTAGGAACTAGTTCCCATGTTTGATTGTGAGTGAGAGCTCGAATTTCGTCCTCCATTATAGCTAGCCATTCCGGTGATTTGGCGGCACTCTTGAATCCTTTTGGTTCCTTCATTACTAATAGTGATGATAATAAAGGAGAAGAAGGAGCTTGAAAAACATAATTGTAATGTTTGGAATTTGAGATTCCAGCTTTTCCACGTGTTAACATGGGATGAGAATTCTGATTTGTTGTAGAATTTTGGGCTGGTGCAATCGGCATATCTGAAGCTGCAAATGGCTCGATTATTGAAGTAGGCACAAGAGGCAGTTCTAGAACTTGCTCAACTATTGGAGTAGGCACACGAGGCAGTGATATTGGTGAACTCTGAGATGTGTTCAACTCTCAAGCACATGATTTACATGGCTTGGATGGAGTGACTGATGGTAATGGCCGAGAACCTACAGAAGAATTAGTGCTGGACAAAGGATAATTTGATGGACTGGGATCTTGAAAAGAAATATAATCTGAGAGTTCATGAGAAGGTTGCATATTAGAAGAAGATGATGGAAAAACTGTCTCATCAAACTGAGCATGTCGAGTGACAAATACTCGATGTGATTTAGGATCTAGGCATCGCAATCCTTTGTAAGATGAGTTTTAACCAAGAAAAATGCATGGGAGACTTCTGGGTTCAAACTTATGTTTAGTATAATCTCGCAAGTACGGGAAACATAAGCATCCAAAAAATTCGAAATATTGCATAGGTGAGAGACTTACCATACAGAATTTCAAATGGAGAGACCCCATTCAAAACATGTGTGGGCAAGCGATTAATTGTAAAAACTGCTGTACTGAAGGCTTCAACCCAAAGATGAAGAGGAATATTGGCATGAAAAAGTATTGTTAGACCTGTTTTAGTGATGTGTTTGTGTTTTTTTTCGGCTCTACCATTTTGAGAAGGTGTATAGGGGCAAGAGAGTTGATGGTGAATACCAAATTTGGCTAAGTGAGACTGAAAAATGGTACTTGTGAATTCACCTCCCCCATCATTTTGGAATTTTTTTATCTTTGCCGAGAACTGATTTTCAACAAGTGTTTGAAATTTTATGAAGGTTTATGAAAAATCAGCTTTATGCTTTAATGGATAGAACCAAGTGAAGCGAGAGTTATCGTCTATAAAGGTAACATAATATCGATATCCAGAGATAGAATTTATTGGTGTCAGACCCCATAAGTCGCAATGTATGAGTCTTAAAATTCTTTTGGATCGACTATCACTTGTTGGAAAAGGGAGTTTATGGCTTTTAGCCTTTTGACAACTAACACACAAAGATGGATTTGGTAATATAGAGGTGAGAGATAGAAGACCTTTCTTATTAAGCATGGAAATTATTTAAGATGATACATGTCCTAAACGAGCATGCCAAGTGTCAAAGGAATTACATAAATTGTTCTTGGTAATAACAGTAGAAAAAACATGGTTTACTCGCTTCAGTACATAGAGTCCATCGACACGATTATCGCTTGCCACCACCTTTTGAGTTTGAAGATTCTGTATGATAAAATCATTGTCAGTAAAGGAAACAGACAAAGGAAAATCATTGGTTAATTTACTAACGGAAAGCAGATTTTTGGTTAAGTTTGGCACCACAAGAACATCATTTAATTGAAGAGTTGGAG